TATGTAAGTAATTGCTTTTTTTTCTTTAATGAGAGGTCCGAAGGCATATCTCATTAGTTTACTGAAGAAATTTGGAAGTGGTTTCAAGCCATAAAAACCAACTTGGTAGGTATATTGTCTACCTCCTACAATAAAGCTTGTTAATTTCTGAGCCTCATCTGTTAGAGGTACTTGATGGTAGGCACAAGACAGATCACTACTTGTGAAGTATGATCCGTTTATTCGGGTCATGAGAACTTGTAGTGGTTCTAATGGCCAACTACAATTGCTAGTATCTGTGATTGAGTTTAGATACCTAGCATCCAAGACCAACTTAACGTAGTCTTTTTTTGGAAGAATGATGACTGGATTTACGAACCATGAGTTCATATCATCTTTTTCATTTAGTTCTCTGACTATGCCTGCTTGGATTAATTCATCCATTAACTTGTCCAATTTATCTCTTAGATGGACTGGGATTTTACTCGGTCGTTGTTTTTTGAACGTTGCGTCCTTTTTGAGTGGTATGTGGAATTTATGTTTTGTTTTTCCAATATCATATTTGTGATGAGAATAAACGTCTTGATCCTCTATCAGCATTTGAATTAGATCAGCAAATTCATCATCCGATATATCACTTTGTGTGAAATCGAAGTCAGATAAAAATTTAATAGTAGTTTCGATTTTTTCCAAAGTACTACTATTGTCCTTATCAATTGAGGAGTATTGGGTAAAGGTTTCGTTGACTAGAAAGGCAATTAGCCGATCATTATGTTCTTTGTTTCGGTACTTTTTGAATTGTTCTTTCAAGGGAGGCCTGCAAAGGTTCTTTGCATCATTAGAAAAGTCGGTTGCTATTTCGTTTTCATTTTTGCATACTTTGACTATATCTGAACCAATTTGTTCAAATATTTCTGATACATTCTCTGTATCAAACACTTCAAGGGCAGGCATGTCCTTGATTTCTTGTCCTGAAACATAGACAAATATAGTAATTCCAGAATGTTGGAATACATCGACAATGATTTTGGAAACTTCTTCCCAATTCATTTTATCTAAGCCACAAGCAATTTTGGGCATTGCGATAGATCGAATGTTATTTGCTATAGCATGATCTTTCATTTCGGACAAGGTATTGAATATAGCGTCGTAAGTGGGTTTCTGAAAGTACCTCTGTTTGGTAATCAGGTTATATATGATTTGTCCAGATTTTGGATCAGTGAAGATGAGAATGTCGTTAATGTTGGCATGTATTGAGTTACAAAAGTGTCGTAGCTCAGGATACCTTTTGCTAATTGATTCAGCAAATCCTTTTTTCATTGCTCTATCTGCAGAGATTGTATGGGCAATGGGCATATTCGATTCGAATATGGACCTTTTTTTGAAGTCTACATATTGTAGACAGGGGCCGGATAATTGAGTATTGCTTTCCTGTGTTGTATTGACAACAGTGTTCAGCATGAAACAGCTATCGAATTCTGAACTTTCATTTAAAATTCTCGTTGTGAACTCATCACAATCGTGGATAGCAAATATTTTATCCTCGTATCCTTGAATATCAGTTACTGCATAGCCTAGTACACACTTGTTTAGTGTGACAGGATGATCTTTCTGATTCTCAATTAGGATAGGTAGGCTTTGCTCAATTTGAGTACAAACTGTATTAATGAAAACCAATTCGGTTTTGGTTGTATTTTTATGAGGCAGGAATGTAGTCCCTTTTTCGAAGTATGAATTTGGTTCAGCCAAGTGTTTGTATAAGTATGTAGAGCGTGCTGGAATGAACAGGGGTTCTTTCAAGTTAATTGAGACAATTTTTGAAACGTTAGGATATTCTTTATCGTTGTTCATCAACCCGTAGGATATTACACCTTCTTTTGATTTGAGCTCAACTGCTGGGATATCAAAGTAGAGAGCTTTTAAGAAGAGATGACAAAAGTCTACTCCTAATAGGTTAGCAGTCTTTTCTTCAGTTATCCACACTTTGTGGTTAGATGGATATTTTCCATCAGTGTCGAAACAAGATTGGATAGATGTATGGCCAAACATACGTATATCAGATCCATTATAAGTCTTTGCTTTAATTTTGGATCGGTAGATTGTCATTTTTTGACCTAATTTTTCCAATTCCTGATAAGTTGGGTAGTTTATGATACTACAAGTTGATCCTGGATCAATCATGAATTCAATTTCAAGTCCACTATTATTATTTTTGTCTCCGGTGGCAAAATGATATAAGCTAAGATATATCCTTGATTTAGGATTACTATCATCGCTCGGTTTCGGAGACTTTAATAGTTTAAAGGAAAGAAATCAGTGATCGCATCACAGTAATTGACTTCTTCCTCAACCCAGTGGGTAGTTTCAGACTGTATTTGATTCGATCTAAAATTTGGTGATTGAGATCGCGTTGAGTCTCGACTGTTATTGCTATTATAGCTTCCAGTGTTATATGGTCGACCTCTAGGATTACTATTGAATTGCCTATTTTCTTGGTCGTAGAACTGTTTAGCAACTTGTTCATTTTCTCTGAATTTGTTTTCTCTGGGATACCTATCATCATAGGTTTGGGGTCTTTTGTTATTGAAAGACGATTGTGCATTAGCCTTTTGGAAATTGTTTCCGTTGTAGTTATAATTATGGCGAATGCCATAGTTATTTTGGCTAGGATTTGAATTGTTAGTAGTTCTGTTTTGGTTATCCCAAAACCGGTTACTTGGGTTAGGGTTATTCTGGTTAGGGAAGTTATTCGGTCTTCGATTTCGTTTATAATCAGTTTCAAATGAAACTCTTCGTTCATTTTTTGTTGTGAGTTCTTTTCGCAACTTATTTACTTCGTCCTGAACTTGCTTTTTGGAACATCTAGATATAGAATGTCCATTCATTCTGCAATATTCGCAGAATCGTGTACTATTAGGTCTTCCCTTGATGTCAGGGTGACGTCGTTGAAATGAATTCTGATCATTGATTGCACTAACTTCTTGATTCTTGATCAATTTTGTTAGTTCTTTAATTTGAGTTTCTAATGAAGTCATTTTATCCGTTGTTGACTTATTAGCAGGATCAGTAGCAACAATGAATGTTAGATCCTTAGTGATTACATGATTTGTGAATTGATCCCAGTTGGCATTTGGATGCTCTATCATGTATTCATGAGCTTTTTGTTTAAGGGCTAGAGGTCTTAGTCCCTTAATTGAGAAATCAATATACTTTTGACTTCTTTGTCTGTTTTGTATAGTTCTCTCAGCATTTTGAGCAGCTTCAGTAGCATGAACGGCTTCATCAATACTTTCGGGCCATCCTCTATCTACAGAAGATTTAATTCTGTGGAAGTAATTTTTTATTAATTCGCCATCTTGGCGAGCTGCATTTTCAGCATCAATTCTATGTTTGAATTGATCTCGTCCGTCAGTGAATCTGTTTAGGAAGAGATCTTTGAGTTGTGCCCATGTGGTAGCATTGGTTACATTATCATTGAACCATTCAAGAGATGTATCAGTTAACAATGATCCGAATAGGGATCGTTGTCTGCTATCATAGCTGCGTCGTGCATCATTATCAGCAGGTGTTTGACCTAATGAGAAAAGAATTTTGTTTTCAACTGAATTCCAAAATGCTGTAGCATTTTGGTTCGGATCGTTTCCCGAAAATGTCATTAAAGACAAGTTGGGATGGGATATTGGGGTATCAGCCATTTTATATTTAGTTTAGAACTTAAAAAAGAAAGATAGAAAGGTTTATAAATTTGTTTAGAAAACTTAAATTTCCGATTTGGAAATTTATTACTTCTCTTTATTTGTAAGAGAAATTTCAACAATTCTCCAGTTTGAGAATTGGAATCTTTGCTGCTTATCTCTTTTTGAGACTTTAGCAATTTTTGCGAATTTTTAGAAGGTGTGCCTCACTGGTCGCACCAATTTATTACGCTAGCAATACTATAGACGTCGGACAAAACGCTTGCTAGGAATAAAGGGTCCTTTCTACTTTCTATCTTAGAAAGTAAATCTAAAATTCGCTGAGAAATATTTTATTAAAAAAAGAAGTTAGTATGAATTTACAGCAAGTTGCCTTTTGACTCAATATTTATTTTTTACGGTGAGATTAGAGATATTTTTTTTGAGATTGGTTGGGGTGGTAGAAGAGAGTGGTGTTGGTGTTAGAAGAGATATTGTTGGAATGAATTCCCGTAGTTTTGAGCTTCTATTTATACTCAGATTGGGAAATCACGCCACTTTTCGTATCAAATGAGAAGTTTCTTTTAACTTCGTATTCTTTATTCGTACATTCGTATTTTACGAGAAGAAGGTTTCGTATGCTCGTATTTTACGAGAGGAATCGTTAATATTCGTATTGAATGAGAATAGTCGTTTCAATTCTCAATGCTTAAAACGTTATACGAATTATTCCAATAGCATTTCCCTTCCTTTTGCAAGGGAATAAAAACATATTTCTTTTGGTGGTGGCGGCGGCGTCACATTTTGTGAACGCAATAAAATAATTCATGTTTCTGTTTCTATTTGAAATCAGAACAGATGTTAAAACGAAGAGCAATAATTCGATGTAGAAATAACTGACAGAAAACTTATGAAACAGTAAATCTATTCGGCGGTCAGTGATCGGTTCAGGCTTTTCAGCTCGAAGTGTGCCAAGAATTGCATTGCAAAATATTTGCTTCAAAATATACAAATTAAATTGAGGCGAACAATTTAATATTATTGGTTTTTGCCAGACAAAAAATATATCATTATACACTTCACATGGCGAGTGAGGGTATAATTATAAAAACAATTTTTTTTTAAAAATCAATTTTTTTTTCTTTTCTTTTTTCAAAAAACTTTTTCATAGACGTTAAAGGGCAGTCAAAATTTTCGGGGTTTGCCATGATACGATCAGCATTAATGCTTTTTAGACTAAATTACGTGTATGCTCAATTTCGGGCCTGTAACCGTCATTAACTTATATAGTAACCGTTTAGTTATGTTTTTCAATTGCACGGTTTAATCACTTGATTTTGCTTCCAGGCTACTTGGAGGTACTTTGAAGAGTTACGCAAAGCAATAGACAAAACAGACATTTACACAAAACAGGAGAAACAAGTCAAAAAGCGACATCTTCCGTCACGTGATCAAACCAAAACATCGCTCTACGCTTTCTCTCTTGTTAGAGAAAATTTCAACTTTCCAGAAAGTGATTTCGGCTATCGTCCCTATTACAACATAGACGCACCGATTTCCAGTTACGGCGCTATTTGGATTGCAACGGGTGATGAATACAGAGGCGGGACTCTTACTCTAGACGACTTCGAAAAAAGCCAACAAGCTGTTATTTACAAACCAAATAACTTTTCTCGCAACTCGATTGTGAAAGATATTTTTGAGTTCCGACTTGATATAACTCCAACCGAAGGTTTCGAAGCGCACCAGAAATACCAGGCGCTTCTAAACATGCAAATCGAAATTAATATTATCCCTATAGACGTGACTCCTCCGACTATTATAGCGCATACTGTCTATGTTCCAGAAGGTGGAAAAGTTGCAATAAGCGGCGACATTCTAGAAGCCGAAGACAATGATTCGTTTTTGTCCCAAATAATCTGTTATATTTCTAGGCAACCGTCATATGGCTACTTAGCTAATGTAGACGCAACTTCGCCGTACTATTACTTGCCAATTAGTAGTTTCTACTTTGATCAGGTTAAAATGGAAAAGTTGGCCTATGTTCAAAGCTTACACACGCATCGAGTGCAAAAAATCGAACCGGAAGCTGATTTTATGAAGTTTATTTGCTCGGACGGAAAAAATTACGCAATCCAGGAAACGTTGATGGAAATTACCATTGAACCGAGAAACGACGAGCATCCCAAGTTCCGATTGATTCAACCAATCACAGTACAAGAAGGAGCTTCCGTGGTTTTAGGTCGACCTTATTTTTCTCTTGAAGATGCTGACATGCCAAAAAAGAATTTGAACATAACTTTACTTCGAAAACCGAAATACGGAAAGATTATGTTGAGAAAAAGGATTTTTGAATCAGTTCAACAAGATCTCTACTACTCCGTCAATTATTTTGATTCTTCGAATCTAATCTTAAGCCCAGGTAAGGCTTAAGACTTAATATTTTTCCTATTAAAACTATGAATAAAACTTGTTGTTTGAAAGTTGTTGAGTCTAGACTCTAAATTTTAAATCACTTGCTGAAATTTGAAGTGCAGTTTTCAGAAAATTTACGAGAGAAAAAGCGACATAAAAAAGATCAATTTCCAAGCACAATCTCAATTTTAAAACTTTTTTGAAACGTGGAAAAGTAGCTCGTTTTTGGGCAAACAGGAATATTCAATCCCCAACATAATTGAAACACAGGGTAATTTTCGAAGTCCTCATTAAACTGGGAAATTATTAACAATCAGAGTTGATTTGTTTGAAATTATTTCAGAAGACGTCGCTTTCAAAACGGACACGATCGTTTACAAACACAGTGGATCAGAAAACTTCGAGGATTCTTTCACAATTCAAATAAACGACCAAAGTGACACAAACTTTTCTCGATCACCATATGCGGTTTACACAATTGTCCAACAATTAAACGTGACAATTAATCGCATAGATGACGAGGTTCCAATATTGGTTGTCTCGGAACCCCTGGTGGTAACTCCTGGACGTCAGAGGTGCCTGGACTCTTCGAATCTTCAAGTGACCGACTCGGATACCAACTTGGTAGATTTGCAGTACATTGTCCGAAGCACTGCAAAGTTCGGAGAGTTTTCTATCAAACTTTCAGAACAAGCTGAAAAAACTTTGGTTTACGGGGATGTTTTCAAACAAGATGATGTTGACAAAGTTCGGGTATGTTATGTCGCATCAATTGATGTCGCTGAAGATGTTGAATATCTAACTTTCGACGTCACAGATGGAACAAATATCCTCAGAAATCAAGAGTTTAATGTCCTGATTAAATCGTCGTTTGAAATTGGATTAAACATCACTGTTATTCTTGACAACAACGAAGGTGATGGAATTTATAAAATAAGCAGCAAGCTTTTCGAGACAACTGACATAACTTTAGATAGAAAGGTTTATAAATTTGTTTAGAAAACTTAAATTTCCGATTTGGAAATTTATTACTTCTCTTTATTTGTAAGAGAAATTTCAACAATTCTCCAGTTTGAGAATTGGAATCTTTGCTGCTTATCTCTTTTTGAGACTTTAGCAATTTTTGCGAATTTTTAGAAGGTGTGCCTCACTGGTCGCACCAATTTATTACGCTAGCAATACTATAGACGTCGGACAAAACGCTTGCTAGGAATAAAGGGTCCTTTCTACTTTCTATCTTAGAAAGTAAATCTAAAATTCGCTGAGAAATATTTTATTAAAAAAAGAAGTTAGTATGAATTTACAGCAAGTTGCCTTTTGACTCAATATTTATTTTTTACGGTGAGATTAGAGATATTTTTTTTTGAGATTGGTTGGGGTGGTAGAAGAGAGTGGTGTTGGTGTTAGAAGAGATATTGTTGGAATGAATTCCCGTAGTTTTGAGCTTCTATTTATACTCAGATTGGGAAATCACGCCACTTTTCGTATCAAATGAGAAGTTTCTTTTAACTTCGTATTCTTTATTCGTACATTCGTATTTTACGAGAAGAAGGTTTCGTATGCTCGTATTTTACGAGAGGAATCGTTAATATTCGTATTGAATGAGAATAGTCGTTTCAATTCTCAATGCTTAAAACGTTATACGAATTATTCCAATAGCATTTCCCTTCCTTTTGCAAAGGAATAAAAACATATTTCTTTTGGTGGTGGCGGCGGCGTCACATTTTGTGAACGCAATAAAATAATTCATGTTTCTGTTTCTATTTGAAATCAGAACAGATGTTAAAACGAAGAGCAATAATTCGATGTAGAAATAACTGACAGAAAACTTATGAAACAGTAAATCTATTCGGCGGTCAGTGATCGGTTCAGGCTTTTCAGCTCGAAGTGTGCCAAGAATTGCATTGCAAAATATTTGCTTCAAAATATACAAATTAAATTGAGGCGAACAATTTAATATTATTGGTTTTTGCCAGACAAAAAATATATCATTATACACTTCACATGGCGAGTGAGGGTATAATTATAAAAACAATTTTTTTTTTAAAATCAATTTTTTTTTCTTTTCTTTTTTCAAAAAACTTTTTCATAGACGTTAAAGGGCAGTCAAAATTTTCGGGGTTTGCCATGATACGATCAGCATTAATGCTTTTTAGACTAAATTACGTGTATGCTCAATTTCGGGCCTGTAACCGTCATTAACTTATATAGTAACCGTTTAGTTATGTTTTTCAATTGCACGGTTTAATCACTTGATTTTGCTTCCAGGCTACTTGGAGGTACTTTGAAGAGTTACGCAAAGCAATAGACAAAACAGACATTTACACAAAACAGGAGAAACAAGTCAAAAAGCGACATCTTCCGTCACGTGATCAAACCAAAACATCGCTCTACGCTTTCTCTCTTGTTAGAGAAAATTTCAACTTTCCAGAAAGTGATTTCGGCTATCGTCCCTATTACAACATAGACGCACCGATTTCCAGTTACGGCGCTATTTGGATTGCAACGGGTGATGAATACAGAGGCGGGACTCTTACTCTAGACGACTTCGAAAAAAGCCAACAAGCTGTTATTTACAAACCAAATAACTTTTCTCGCAACTCGATTGTGAAAGATATTTTTGAGTTCCGACTTGATATAACTCCAACCGAAGGTTTCGAAGCGCACCAGAAATACCAGGCGCTTCTAAACATGCAAATCGAAATTAATATTATCCCTATAGACGTGACTCCTCCGACTATTATAGCGCATACTGTCTATGTTCCAGAAGGTGGAAAAGTTGCAATAAGCGGCGACATTCTAGAAGCCGAAGACAATGATTCGTTTTTGTCCCAAATAATCTGTTATATTTCTAGGCAACCGTCATATGGCTACTTAGCTAATGTAGACGCAACTTCGCCGTACTATTACTTGCCAATTAGTAGTTTCTACTTTGATCAGGTTAAAATGGAAAAGTTGGCCTATGTTCAAAGCTTACACACGCATCGAGTGCAAAAAATCGAACCGGAAGCTGATTTTATGAAGTTTATTTGCTCGGACGGAAAAAATTACGCAATCCAGGAAACGTTGATGGAAATTACCATTGAACCGAGAAACGACGAGCATCCCAAGTTCCGATTGATTCAACCAATCACAGTACAAGAAGGAGCTTCCGTGGTTTTAGGTCGACCTTATTTTTCTCTTGAAGATGCTGACATGCCAAAAAAGAATTTGAACATAACTTTACTTCGAAAACCGAAATACGGAAAGATTATGTTGAGAAAAAGGATTTTTGAATCAGTTCAACAAGATCTCTACTACTCCGTCAATTATTTTGATTCTTCGAATCTAATCTTAAGCCCAGGTAAGGCTTAAGACTTAATATTTTTCCTATTAAAACTATGAATAAAACTTGTTGTTTGAAAGTTGTTGAGTCTAGACTCTAAATTTTAAATCACTTGCTGAAATTTGAAGTGCAGTTTTCAGAAAATTTACGAGAGAAAAAGCGACATAAAAAAGATCAATTTCCAAGCACAATCTCAATTTTAAAACTTTTTTGAAACGTGAAAAAGTAGCTCGTTTTTGGGCAAACAGGAATATTCAATCCCCAACATAATTGAAACACAGGGTAATTTTCGAAGTCCTCATTAAACTGGGAAATTATTAACAATCAGAGTTGATTTGTTTGAAATTATTTCAGAAGACGTCGCTTTCAAAACGGACACGATCGTTTACAAACACAGTGGATCAGAAAACTTCGAGGATTCTTTCACAATTCAAATAAACGACCAAAGTGACACAAACTTTTCTCGATCACCATATGCGGTTTACACAATTGTCCAACAATTAAACGTGACAATTAATCGCATAGATGACGAGGTTCCAATATTGGTTGTCTCGGAACCCCTGGTGGTAACTCCTGGACGTCAGAGGTGCCTGGACTCTTCGAATCTTCAAGTGACCGACTCGGATACCAACTTGGTAGATTTGCAGTACATTGTCCGAAGCACTGCAAAGTTCGGAGAGTTTTCTATCAAACTTTCAGAACAAGCTGAAAAAACTTTGGTTTACGGGGATGTTTTCAAACAAGATGATGTTGACAAAGTTCGGGTATGTTATGTCGCATCAATTGATGTCGCTGAAGATGTTGAATATCTAACTTTCGACGTCACAGATGGAACAAATATCCTCAGAAATCAAGAGTTTAATGTCCTGATTAAATCGTCGTTTGAAATTGGATTAAACATCACTGTTATTCTTGACAACAACGAAGGTGATGGAATTTATAAAATGAGCAGCAAGCTTTTCGAGACAACTGACATAACTTTAGACAGAAGAACCTTATGGTTTAGACTCAGCAAGGATCCACAACACGGTGACGTCAAGATCTTGCGTAATAAGATCTTCAAGCCAGTTCAGGAATTTTCCGCGATCAACTTGAAGGACAATGTCGTCATATATTATCATGACATTACGTTCGAGGAAACTATGGACGCGTTTCAAATTGAATTGTACCAAAAAGATCCTTACAGAGAATCAATAGTTGATACTCCAGATGCAGATGAGCTTCTCAAGGTTCTGCGAACGTTCAACATTGCTGTTATAGATCCGGAGAAAAACCCTATTTTAGTTTCAATTCGACCCATGTCAGTTTTTGAAAACAACTCAAAAATAGTTTCAAACGAAGACATCTCAATTAAACAAGGAGGCCAATTGATACCTGAAATTGAGCTCTACGTCACGCAAAATCCGAGTTACGGCGAATTACGAAGTCGGTCTAGTAATAAACAAGTTTTCAAATTTTCAGCTGGAGATCTGACAAAAGGCGACATTTATTATATGCATTCGGGTCGCGACGTATCGCGGCGGAAGTTTGACGGAATCGGGTTGACGTTGTCGGATCCGAGACGACCGAGCCAAGACTGCTGGTACTACATGCTTCCGGATAGTACCTATCCTACAAAAGACAAACTACAAATCCCAATCGAACTCATACCTATTGATAATAGGGCGCCGAAGATATATGTCAACACTATTAGCTCGGATTTGATAGCCCGTGCCGACGATACGAACAAACCGACATCCAGAACTGGGTTCGGGCATTTTTCGGTCATACCAATTAGTCGAATTAATCTTCGTGCTTATGATGAAGACTCCAAATCTTCAGATGTTTTCTTCGTCATTCAGAACTCAACGAGGGGTTTCATTTGCTCGAAAAAATTTCCAAGTGTGAACTTGTATAATTTCACACAAGAGCAGTTGGATGACGATATCATTGGATTCTGCTTGCCTCACGGGAGTTTCGCGACTGATGGTTACTTCACATTCAGACTGCAAGATTCAAGTGAGTTTTTTCCCCATGAAATTGATTTTTCCGTATTTTTTTCCCGTATTTCAGAAATCGAAAATAAGTGAATGGTGAAAAAGAGCGCTTTATGAAAACTAGCAAAAGTGTGGGTACAGTTTTTGAAACAAGTTGAATTGACAATTGTTTTTTTTTCGCTTAAAAGATTGTTTTCGTCTAAAGTGTTTCGAATGCTGTTATAATGTTTTAAAGCCTCATGTTACAATGATTGAAATGCTAAGTTTGATTTTTTTATGCGTGCATGCGTGCATGGTTACGATTGTGTGTGTGTATGTGTGCAAGTATGTGTGTGTACTGTCATATATAGTATCTAATCATATATTACGTGTTGGCGCCATTGGTTAGCTATGTGTCTGGTGCGGCTACTAATTAATTAATACCTGTCAACCTTAAGTTTAGTCTGCGATGTTTGGATTCACTGTTGTTAACCGTTAAAGAATAAACGAGTCAATCTTAGTTCAGTGAATTAAAGATATTGAATCTGCATTTTTCACATGGCGCAGCAAGCAGGACAAAGCGCGGGATCAGGAAAAAATCCACTGGGAATTACGGCATTTTGGCCGAGTAAATGTACGGAAGCACCAATGTTGTGGGAGCATTGGATTACACGATTCACCTGGGGTGTAATAGCAAAACATTCATTCAATCCGACCGCATTTTATTTTGCTAATACGCTCACTGAGGCGCAAATTACCGGTCTGCCAGAGGAGGTGAATGGGAAAAATCGAGTGGAAGCAGAGCAGACACTAATTTCTAACCTCTATTTGTGTTTGGGGGAACGTGGACAGGACGAATTACATAACCGGAAGCCCCATCTGGACCTGGCGACTACCCGATATCCACGGGTTTTGGATGAATTTGAGAGTGTTTTCCGCAAGGAAAGAAACGAAACATTCGAGACGTACCAGCTACTATCTCGGAAACAACGTGACGGGGAAACGCTAGAAGAATTTCACTCCGTTTTGAGTGGACTAGCCGCTAGATGCTCATTGGGAACATTGGAACGACGGGTGTTACGTGATGTATTCATAGTAAATATGTCAAACAAGGAAGCCCAAACGGAGATATGCCGTTCAACTAAGACACCAGATGAGGTCTACCGGATTGCTTTGTCATATGAACGGGGGGACAAATACGCAAAGTCGTATAAAGTATCCGGTGGGGGACTTACTGCGGCACCAGCGGGTTCACTACAAATTAAAGCGGAGCCTATAAGCGCAATTAGAGGAGGGTACCGTCGTCCATTCCAAAGAGGCGGACGTGGATTTGGCAGGGGCGGCACAAGGGGCCGCGGAGGAGCAGCAGATCGCAAGTGCTACAATTGCGACCAGAGTGGTTTTACCCCGGACCACATTCCAAAGTGCCCAGCAAGAAATGTAACCTGCAATTTTTGCAAGAAAATGGGACACTATGAGCGAACTTGTAGAGGACGTCGATCGGCGAATAGGGGTCGCGTAGGCATGATAAATGAGGATGACATCAATGGCGGGACTACCCAAGATTATCCGGAGGAGAGTGCATCCAATTACGGAAGTTCTGTCGGATGGGTGACTGATTCAAAGACACCGGCACATGGATGGGATTCGGATAGTTCGACGGAGTATGTGGTTATGTCAATTCGGCGGAAGGAGGAAACGGAATTAAAAGTCGCGGGGGCCAAACTAGCTTTAAGAATCAACGGCAAAGCAACTCAGGCCTGGATTGACAGTGGTTCGCCAATATCCATCTTCACTATTGGGGAACTAAAACGTACCCTGGGGACAGTCAACGTACAATTGAAACCGCTGAATCCACAAGACGACCAATTCCGCGATTACGGAAACAATCCGTTAAAATTTCTGGGCAAGATGCAAGTCACGCTTCATTCCAATGGATGGACTTGTTCGTCGGATATAAACGTCATCGGAGGGTGCCGACCGTCTGTTATTGGCAGGGATTTAATGCCCTCACTAGGACTGATGCTGGTACAAGCACCATCGACAGAAGGGGTGAAAAGCATACATACCACGGAAGGAACTGTGGCGATGGACAATGACCTGGATGAGTGGCAGACACATTTTTGTAAGCAATTTCAACATCTTTTTCACAGGGTAGGGCGCATTCGAAATTATAAGGTGCAGGCAGATTTCTTCAAAAACCTAACTCCAATTCAACAAAAAGGTAGGCGAGTACCTATAACATTACAGGAAAAAGTCGATAAGGAGATTGAAAAACTGTTGGGACAGGGTCATATCCAAAAGTTGGAAGAATGTTCAGACAAATATTTTGTTTCACCTATTGTCATCACCGTGAAAAAGGACGGTTCTGTTAAACTTGCACTGGAATCTAGAGAACTAAACAAACAAGTGCATAAGAATAAATACCAAATGCCCAATATTGAAGAACTAATGGACATCGTAGGGCAAACTATCAGCGAACGCAAACAGGGGGATGTTTTTTTTACAACGATGGACCTCACGTACGCATACGGTCAACTTCCTTTAAATGAAAACACTAGTAAACATTGCAATTTTTCATTGGTGGGAGGCCGTTCTACCGGTACATATCGATTCAAAACAGGATTCTACGGATTGACAACCATGCCGGCGGAATTTCAACGGGTCATGGATGCCATTCTGGCTGAATTTCCGTGCGCGCATGCTTTCATTGATGATATATTAGTAATTTCGAAAGGTACCAAGATCGAACATATCGCTTTAGTGGAGAAGATTTTAATGAAACTCGATAAAGAAAATATGGCTTTGAAGCTAGAAAAATGTCAATTTGCGAAAAATACTTGCGAGTGGTTAGGCCACCGGATTACGAAATCAGGGATTACACCAATGGTGCGGAAAACAGATCCAATTGACAAATTAACCGCCCCGAAAACGCTCTCTCAGTTGAAATCGTTCATGGGGTCAATCCATAGTCTTCACAAATACTTACCGGCGTTAGCGGAAACTTCGGCGCCTCTACGTCCACTTCTAAGTAAGAAGAACGAATTCCTCTGGACAATTGACTGCCAAACAGCGTTCGAATCGATTAAGAAACAAGTCGCGAACATTGTCGAACTTAAGCATTTCGACGTACATAAGGATATACGTATCGTGTGCGACGCAAGCCATAACGGTTTGGGGGCGGTACTCGAACAACTAGGCACCGAGGGTTGGCGACCAATATCATTTGCGTCCCGGTTTTTAAATGCGGCCGAAAAGAAATATTCGACGAATGAGCTAGAAATGCTGGCCGTAGTTTGGGGCTCCGAATACTTCAGAAATTATATTTTCGGGCGGAAATTTACTGTGGTGACAGATCATAAGGCTTTGCTATCTTTATTGAATGGGAACAATAAGAGAAACAAGACTATGTTCAGTCGATTAACTCGCTGGATTGATAGAATTATCCCCTTTGATTTTGTCATTGAACACATGCCTGGGGCTAAAATTGGCCTGGCGGATTACCTTTCAAGGCATCCGGTGGGGGAAGCCACGAAAGTTAGTCTTTATGATAACACTTTCACAGTGGCAAAATTGAAATCAATTACCAATTCACTCGGATATATTGATACCAATAAAGGGATCATCAAAGCATCAAAGGAATCAATTGTTTCAGCTAAAGATATTCAAGTTGGAAACGATAAAGTTAACATTCCACCGGAAGAGGGCGTCAAAACGCGTGACCATCGGTTGACCAATCAGAAGCCACTAAAACGAATAGCTGAGTGTAATGACCGGGAAAGCGCAAAAGTAGTAAAGTCAATCACCGAATGTAAACTACGTGAGTCTGATATTAATTCCACAGTAAACAGTAGTCCTCTATTTAACAAAACAAGTTATCGATCTAACAAAATACACATATCTACAATGACATCACTTAATTTGAAGAAATTAAATAAATTACTGTTGAAACATCCAGAAATAACGAGCGGCAGTAGCAGCGAGGTGGAGATTGTGGATGCACGATTGGAGGCAGAGACGCATCACACCAGGGACATTCGATGCAACACAGTCATCTCCATTCCTTCGGCATTCGGAGGTGAAATTTTTCCGGCGGCATACCCAGCAGGAGGGAACGTCATCATGTCAGTAATCCCCCGGGACTGCAAGATAGTCCGCAAAAGCAGTGCACTGCCGGAGCTATTCAACCTGAAGCTCGTGGAAGCGAACTATAAAGGGGACCCCCAGATGCGCGCAATAAAAGAACTGGTGGAGAGTAAGGACCCGGATTTGGAAAAGAAGGTCAGAGCAATGGGTGCCTACCTCGGACAGCACACACATGATTTCCACGTGCGGGAAAATTGTCTGTGGATGGACGAACGACTCGTCATCCCCATACCACTCAGGAAGGCTGTGGTTAATCGGATACATGCGTTTCACCATGGGCGCTCGAGTATGTTCGACGCTGCGAGGGATGTCTGGTTTCCCTATCTCCACCGGAGTTTAGTCGCAGCTGCGGATGGATGCAAGGAATGCACCGATGCAGGTAAAAGCCTTAAACCATTATGCGCCAAAGGTGATGTTGGGAAGATCTATGAACCACGCGAGCCGAACGAATGCCTACAGCTTGATTTTTGGGGTCCAATTAGATACTTAAATGAATCAAGTAAATATGTCTTGGTAGCGGTTGACCGATTCTCACGTTGGCCCTCTGCAATGATCTGCGGAAATAATAAAAGCGACAAGGTTCTTAAGTTCATTAAACAATACATATCTCAACATGGTGTCCCTAGGAAAATTTTTATGGATCAAGGTACAAGTTTCACATCGAACGCAGTTAAATCATTTTGCAATTCCGAAGGAATTGAAATAATTTATTCACCCGTGAATGATCATCGCGCCACCGGGTGTGTCGAACGTACCATTGGCAGTCTGAAAAACTTTGTCTTAACTTACGCTAAAGAAAAAGATAGTGGAAACTTAGAATCAATGATAGAACGAGCCTTGAGTGCTCTAAGATTTGCCCCAAATGCTACTCTCAAGATATCGCCGTTTGAGGCTCAT